ACGTAGATTCCAACGTGCAGCGTGAAAGCATGATGAGGAAAATTATGCCTATAGAAATTATGCAAAGCAGCGATCTCATTTTCTTACATCAAGCTTCCTCTTTCATTCTCTTTTCTCATTTTTTCTATTCTTAATTCACATTTTTTCACCACTGGCTTTCATCGGGCGATCGAAAATGTAACAAAGATCGTACATTATAGATAATTGCACGAACACTAACGCGGTTACTCCTCGACATTTTTGATTGCCTGATGAAAATTAGCGGTAATCTTGCGAGAAAATGTAAATTAAAAATAGAAAAAAAAAAGAATGAGAGAGGAAGCTTAACATAAAAAAATGAGATCACTGTTTTGCATAATTTCTATAGGCATAATTTTCTTCATCGTGCTTTCACACTGTGCGCTGGAAATTAATAAATCTTATCTCCTCTAGATGATATGCTCGTTTACAGTTTATACCTTCTTTAAAGAAGAGATGATCTTGTGGATGATTTAGCCACAAATTTATTATTTTCTGAGAAAAGTCAGCTGCGCTTTTCGCAAGCAAGTGCAATTTTCCTCGGAGAAAAGGTCGGACGATTGCTTCGATGATCGATTACCAGTGACACGATTTTTTCATTTTTTTTTCTCAGCTTATTCTTCCTCTCGGTTTCTCGTCATCGTCTTTTCCGCTTATTTCTCAGTTTTCTGTTCCTCAACGGAACGCACTTAACCGTCCGGAAGCTATTCTCTCACGTGCAGTTATTGACCTACTGAATTATTATATGTGCCTGGACTCGATGATGTACTCTTTCTCGGGTATGAGATAATGCACAACGCCCAGAAGGTCGACAACTATGCCAATATCTAAAGAGAAGAAAGAGAGAATGGGGAGTGAGAGAGAGAGAGAGAAAAGAAGGTGACTGCCCGTCTTTATGATGGAAGAAAAAGAAATACTCGTAGAGATATCACGAGCTCTGCTCTCGGCGACGCTTTATGTCGACTTCTACAATGGCCTGTACAATTTGCCGAGCTGAATACGAACGACGCTGTTCCACACCATATAGCAGAAGTTCGCAGGCAGCCATTTCTTAATTCGTTCGACCTGAATCTCACGTCTTTTTTGAGTCGAAGACGCCTTTTCGGCCGTGCAATTATCTACGTACATCGTTGATTCCGAAAAAAATCATTATCGTTATCGACATTTTCGATACGTCGACAACATTCGATACATCTCAACGTAATAGTGAATTCGGTAGAAATCCGACGAAACAGAAATAATGTTAGACAGGGACAATACTTCGACGAAGTTAATGCATTCTCTTGATAGTTCGAACGTTATTCGAAGTTTTACAGCTCCATGCCAGCATTACATCCCGACTTGAGGTTTATCGCTTTTCTAAAGAATGATATACGCACTTTTTTTTCTATCACGATCTCGATAATCATACTACGCGTTCGCGCTTCAACTCAAGCTTTTAGCTTAATGAAAGAATGGGTCATTAAAATTTATTCGAGGTTCTATTTTAAATCCGCTGTCTGTATACGTGACGTTTCTGACATCATCGTGGACTAAATTCATAATTAAAAACGCGTGACTTGTAAATTGTGATTTCTAAACTATAAGATTACATTAATGGCATATTTGCAGAGAGAAATTACTCACTTATTAATTTTACGAATCGTCTGCTTCAGCGCAGGAAAATCTGGTCGGTCCGCGGATTCTTGCGCCCAACATCGTCTCATTAGAGTAGCTACCTGTAAAATGATATTCGTTTCATAAATTTATATTCTTCTTTTCGGTTAAAGCGATATTTATCATTTTTATAATTTTTTAAATAATTTTATATTCTTCTTTTCGGTAGTGCTTAAATACTTCTATGTGAATTTGTATTTACTCTAATTTTGTATACCACGCGCCGAAATCTTTTTCGGTCTTATTTGTGCAAACCATTTAATAAATTTAGAATACATTTTAAACAGGCGAGCAACTAATAATATATGTGTTAATAATACGCCGAATTATATGAATATATAATATTTTATGGTAATATACACAATTGCTAATGCTAATGAATGACCCATCGATTATCATGTGCAAATAAATCTTGCATATTTGTAAACATGAATACATTTAAAATATTTGCTAATATGATATTTACCTCTTCTTCAACGGAAGCATCATCTATTACAGGCCTTAAGGGTGAACCGCCACCTCTTCTAACACCTTCTATTATTTCTGCAACAGAGACGAAGTGTGTCGCATGATATCAAAGTTCACAGGGCAATGTAAAAGAATCTCTTCATGGAACAAAAAAATAGAAAGAAAGGAAAACGCGTGGAAAATAATGTGCCTGTTGGGCATAAAATATCGATTGTAACGTGCAACTGTTCTGTAGGACGAAATAACATGTTAAAAAACAATTGACGCAATACCGCGAGATATTCCGCAATATTTCAATTATTCAGAATTATAATGTCTCCATATGCAATCGCGCAAAACTATGTCTGTGATTCAACGAGTCCGCGTTTACGTCAGACGATGATGTCTGCTTAGTGCGAGGAACTTTCTCCTTCGTCCGCCTACTAGCGCGCTTCACTACTGTCCACGTATTTAAAAAAGCAACTAGCACACTACAAATATTTTCCGTTGACCATTTGACCTTATTGAGTACAATCATTTGTATCGATTTATTGGCGCATCTAACCCGCAAATTTTTTCAATAAAGTATATTTACAGACTAACGTGAACATCCCGAAGCATCAATGAACCATGAAACTACAGTACGAAATCTTATAGAAAATAATTTTTATTTGCCAAAGTTAAGAGTTAGAAAGAGAAAGAGGAACAAGCCGGATCAGTGTCTATGTTATATTTAAATGTCTTCTCCTTGCTTATATAAAAGGCAATTTATTCTATCTTGCGATATAAATTTCTTTTTATGAGAATTATATAATACGCGGATGAGCGTAAGTTATTGAACATAATTAGCGAGGAATCTGAATCGTCAGCTAGATAAAACTGTGAAAAGTAACGGTATTTATGGACGTTCGAAACCATGTAATCATCGATAATACAATCTATATTGTTAAAAATTTTATGAAATTTAATATATTTTTAAGTTACACAATTTAAATTTAATTTCATGACATTACATTAAATTTGATGTATTTATAACTGAAAAGTATATTTGTGTATATGTACATGATATTTAATGTCTTTTTCATGAAAATTAATGTATACGTTTTATGAAATTTAATGTATACATTCATTACATTTAAGTAACTATTGTAACTTAATTTTCAGTTAAATTTAAATCATTCGTTACTTTTAATTTTATTCATAACCACGAGTTTCATTTACATGTAAAGGAAGGTCGTGGTTACATTTCTAACAGTATATATTTCTGATCATATAAATAGCATACGTCAATTTTATCGCAGAAAGATGCCAGAAAAGAATAGAGATCAATTAGCGTGTCTACATTTACCGAAACTCCACCCTGGTCTAACTGCTAGCTGGTATATCTATTCCATAAAGTCACAGAATTAGTTAAACGGGTGTAAACGTCAATATGAGAATCGAATTGAGGTAAATTGACAAAGGGAGGTAAATGTATCAATGACAACAGAAATTTAATTCTCTTTTACAACTTGTATGTACAAAGAGACGGAAATAGAATTTTTAGCGTAGAATTTTAACCGTAACTGTTACAGTTACTTTTTTAAAATAAAATTTTTTTTAATTTAATTTTATTAATGTCAGAGTATGTCTGAAACAGGAGCTACCTTTTATAATTGAAAATTGATTGAAACAATTATAATAACGTTTAATGTAATTTTTATTTTTTCCTACTTTAATTAATATCTCTTTTTCAATCTTATTCTTTTTTTTGTTATAATTTTATTTGAAATATTAATACGCGTTTACATAAGCAAAATTGAAATAATATGACGGACAGTAGAATCGAAATTACATGAAAAATCTCGGTTTGAATAACATTCCATATATTGTTCATTACGAGAAGGGAAATATTTGCAGGCACTATTTCAAATCTTGAAATATATTTAATTTGATTTCTATGTATCAATATCATCATATATTACACTCCTTGAATTCCTGAAATAAAAAATTCCGCTAAATTAGTGATACATAATTTCTATTTAAAAAGGAATAAACAAGGATTTGACGAAATTAAAACAAGTAAGAAATACATTTTATAAATTATTAATAATTATATATATAATGTAAAATATACATGAAAAGTATAAACGTATATAAATAAAATTATAATAGTAATACAATATGTGAGTGCACGAGTGTCGAAAAGTACTAATAAATTAAAATAGATAAAACATGTAATATAAAATTTATTTTAATGAAATTCAGTGACAAAATCACAGAAATGAGAGGCGTTTTTACGTTATTCTATTCCAATTACTAATAGAGCGTTGCATATTTCATCAAATTTCTCTTTGACAAAACGAAATCGACATTAATTTATAATATATATTGCAGGAAATATTCCTAATGAAATTTTCCATATTCCGAAATCCACATAAACGTCACAAAATCATTTGATTTTGTCCAAAGTTAATATCGAATGTTATGTTCTGGGGGATCTCTGTTCTCGGAAGCCGGAAGATAATTACGTTTATGGTATGATTGATAGGATATCGAATTCAATCGCGGTTACAGGAAATCGGAACCCGTTGTTGCGCACCAAGGACAACGGACACATACTGTGCCTGTAGATGTCCTCGAGGAACAAGTTGCATGATTCGCAGTTGAGGGTGCAATGAGGCCTGCGAACTTCGAGGAGAGGACTGACGGCCCTCCTGGGACTGGCCCCACCGTCGGGATTTGTCCCAACTTGCGACCCTTGTGGCAGGGTCAGGCTGCTTGTGCTTGAGGCTAAACTTCTATCCGCCATTCTGTCTTCGTCCTCGAAGAGCCTGGCCGTCGATCAAGGGAGAGCCAAACTGCCTCGCCAGACAGCCCTTGAAAATTTACCGTTGCGATATCGGATTTTTTCTCCTCGTTCTCTTCCATTCCTTCGCATACGTACGCGTGCGTGCGTGCGTGCATGCAGACACGCACGACATAAATGTATTATAGTTCCGCCGAGTCGGCATACCCGATAAAAATGTATATGAGATAGTATTTTATAACCCGCAAATATATACTATTTCCAAATTTCATATTCAAGATTCCTCCGAACGATCGCGAAATTTCACGGTTGAATAATCGAATGTGGCACATTCATGCGGAAAGTCCGTTGAATATCGTGCCGTTTTTTAACAGATGGAAACTGTTGGACAGCATTCTTCGATTATTGTAACGTTCCGTAAAAAAAGAGAATTTAAATACAGACAGAAAGGGACATTTATTATACTGTTAACTCAGATATAAATACTCAGATATAAATTATCTTCGTGATTTATACGTTTTATAATAATTTTGTTACATAACCTTTTGCATAAATAATATCTAAGTCACATATATATTTTTATTTAAGTTTAAGGTATACTATTTAACTCTAAAATTTGAATTGTTGAAACATTTGTTATATAAATTTATATCATGTTTTTCACAATTAATTAAGGTACATTATCTTAATAAACGTATATTTGGTTATGTTTATCTCGAATCTGTTGCAACAAACAACAAACATTTTATACAGAATTAATTCTCATTTACTGTTCATGTAGCATGCAAAAGAAAGTGGATCGTATTCGACGTACTGTATAAATGATATCTTTGCAAGTTGTTAAAACATTTACCATTCGTCTTTCAAGTACGCATTTATCTTATTTGACTAAAACATTGCGTATTTTCCCAAGAAACTAAAATAATATTTATTAAACATTGGATCGCTAAAGCGACTTTATTTTTTCAAAAACCGCGTTAAAATTTCAGTTACTGTTATATATAATTATTTATAATTATTCATTAATATTTCCACAATGGCCGCAGTGTTTCTGTAAATAATAACTATTATAACAATTCGATTAATTGAGCAATTCAATAGACGGAAATTTGTTAAAAAATTAGTCACGTTTCCATAAAAAAGTATAGTTTTAAAATATATATTTAATAATATAATATCTAATGTCGAACAAAAATTGTTACGACGTATATTTTTTAAGATAACGTCCATCTTCTATTAAATCGATTTGTAAACGTTACATTACAGAGCTTTGATGAATGAAAGCTATTATCCAAAAGCTTTCTTCAGAGTGCTCGAAGTTAAAATAAGTATGAGTATCTTAAAGTTTAATTCGCGTGTAATGATATTACGGTCGATTTATTCGATGGAATTTCGTAGAAAACTTACGTCTTGTCGGCCTTGAATCGTCGCGTTTGACTTTGATTTCTTTTCCGTTGATTTCTTTTTAATCCTTATGTGATCATTTTATGATCAACGATCTTGTTTCCGTTCGAGTTCACAAGTTCACACTTTCGAAATTTCGTCAAAAGACGCATCAATTTTCGTGAAAAGTCGTGGCCATTAAACTGAATTATACGTAATCTGCGTTTAATAATTCCCCATTTCAAGATACATCCAAAATTTAAAAAAAGGAGAGTTTTATAATATTTTATTTAAATGGAAAAGTAAAAGAGTTATTGAAGATTATTGAAAATAATTGAAAATTAATTAAAAATGAACTGGTTTTTGGAAACAATTTTAACAAGTAACAAATCGCTTCATTAAAATATCAAACGCAAATATTTTCTTATCTCCGTTATATATAAAATAAAATAGTTTCCGAAAATTACTTGGATTAGCCATCCGATTCTTTTCAAGGTTTAAGATATAACCTGCAGTTTCTCTTTTACCTTACCAGGATTTCGCCGCATTAGGGAAACACTCGCGTTTATCCCGATAGCTGAGTTCATCCCGGATCTCTGTCTTCACTTCCACTAACCCCATTAAGCCTTGTCTTATCATATACGCTGATTTTAATTTTGCAGCACTAATCACTACACGACACGCCATACCTTCCACGTGTGAATCGCAACCCATTCATGGAACGAGGAAATTAATTTGTTTGTATCGCTGTTTTTGTCAGGGACCAAAAAATGTCTCGCGGAATTAATAACCACAAGCAACTCGTAACCTCTATTTCACCGCCGAGTAAATTAGTATGAACGCTTTTCATCGTTATCCTTCAGTCGGGACACATTTTGCAAGTGAAATGTTCATAGTACAAGGAACTTGATAGTAACATTGATATTGAATATATATATATATATATATATATATGTATATATATACACACACACACATACAGGATGTTCCGTTTTGTGTGTAAATAGAGTGGACTAAACTGAGTCGAAAAGTCCTGTACTATTTTGCAATTTTCGCAATAGTTAACAAAATATTACTAAAAATTGCCAAATTGGTCTTGAATTTTGTACTCAAATACTATCAACTTTATAGAAAAGCTGCAAAAATCATTTATTTTTTTCTGATAAAGTTCTAAGAATTTTTCAAAATTTTTTCAGAATTTTTTAATATCGTATTTTCTCATATTGGCAAAAATAAGAAAATGCAGTAAAAACTTGATAAAAAATTCTGAAAAAACTCTTAGGAAGAAAATAAATGATTTTTGTCTCTTGCAGTTTTTCTGTAAAGTTGATAATATTTGAATATAAAATTATTCAAGACCAATATTTGACAATTTTTAGTAATTAATAATCTTGTTAACTATTGCAAAAATTGCAAAATGATAGAGGACTTTTCAATTCAATTTAATCCGCTTTATCTACACAAAAGCGATTGGCAAAAAATTTTCGGAACACCCTACATATATATATATATAATCGTTATATAATACTCATTTATTTCTCGGCTTACTTTTAATTTAAGTTTACGTAACAAAAAATCTGGATGTTAATAACTGCACATAATAAAATTAAATATGAATATAATTCAAAATTAAGACTCTTCGGATATTTACAATAAAAAAATTTTTGCCGAAAACATTGTTTAAATGATCGTAACCTGAAGATAATATCTTTTTCTGAAAATAAAAATTGTATTTTCCTCTGGGAAATACGTTTCATGACCACATAAACAAGAATTGCGAAGGAGAAACTTCGGAAAGAAAGAAGAAAAAGAAGAGCGTACGAAGGCGACAAAAAAAGACACTGAACTGCATTCCAATTTCTCACTGTTACAAGCATACAGTAACAGGACAATAAAACGATCTGTCGCGACAAAAACAGTGTAGAGCGAAGTATATAATGTAAAAAGATAAAAGTTCCGTTCGTGCTAAGGTAAGAAATAGAGGAGGAAATAAATAGCTGCATGGCGAACAGCCGATGAACTCGCGCAGAAAATGTCGCAAAACGCGAAACAGGTCGTTTACGACGCTGTCTGATCGGTTATGTGATCTATCACTTGTCGGATTACCACGCTCGAGTTTCTCTCTTCGACCTGTCAGCAAATCGTGTTCACTTTAACAGTTCAAACCGCATCGCGCGTACAAATGAAGTTAAATCCATCAGTGATACAAGTAAATGAATAATCCGACCTGTATTAATATTCGTTGATATTGAAAACACTGTTAATAAATCTTTGATCTTTGAATTTATACTATCATCGTTTTACTTTATATAACAAAAAAAGGATCACATTATTTTTTCCAACCTTATCAGATATTTATTCTCAACATTGTTAAAAAATTACTCCATCGTGTGTGTATGTTCGGTAACTCTTTTCCAATATAATAAAAAGTTTCCTTTCAAAATTGGGGGGCAATTCTGGGAGAAAAATAAGGTTTCTTTCTCTAACCCGGCGGGAATTTACTTTCTTCAGTGGAAGAACTTTAACACAGGCGAGAGCTCCATTCCGTTTTATTGGGAGACCTTTAATGTGGCCAGTGGCCTCTATCCCTCTAACACGGTCACGGGACGATTTAATTTCGCACGCTGTTTTTCCTCATGTGTGCCATGATGCAACGTTAATTGCTTCCGCGCGGTTGTAACGCTGATATTACGGAGGTGCGTCGACCCGGTGCGGCGGTCTTTTCGCACTCGGAATCGATACTGCCGCTGATTAACCGTTACACGATGTGTAAATCACGCGACGAGATCAATTTTGCGAAGAATCCAATAGATTTCGACAACATATTTTGTGCATTTACACGTAACTTATAAAAAAGAAAGTGAAAGAGAAAGAGAGGAAGAACACAACGCGTTGTGCACGCACGTTGTCGGGTATGCCGCTCGTCGAAAGATTTCTCCTTTCCATTTTAAAACAACACCTACGACTTCGTCTTTAGGCCGCAGACTGGGGCATAAGTGATGCCCGATGATTTCACGTGTCGTCGCCGAGAATACGTATTTTTTTTTTATACCGAAGAGAAAAATGGATAAATGGGGAAAAAGGAGAGCGATAACGAGAATCTCAGCGGAACGCGCGCGATAGTCGCGTGCGTTCTAGGACGCGTGAGAACTTCGACTGAGCTTTCGGACCTTGTTTCGACATGCTCCTATGGAACACATTCCATTCCGATCGATTCTCGCGGATAGTTGCCGTGAGCTTGCAAACTTTGAGCGAGAACTCTATTACCGATGGCGCGACTAACTATCGATTTCCTTAATGTTGAAAATGTGGCGAGCTTTAGTAGTAAAGCTCGAGTCTGGTAAAGTCGTTTTACCAGTATATCGGGTGATGGACATCTAATAATAATCTAATATCGACATATGTTAGATACATTTTTCCTTCCCTTCGAAGCCATCAGTCGATTGAATCGAGGTGTTCTTGCAAGCTTCGTTACCGAGTTTTGCTTTCCTAATCAATATTTGATAAGATATTGGTATCAATGAAGATACATACTTGAATCTTTTAACTATATACTTTTTATAGATTATTTAGTTATTTGTTTTATTTCATATATTAAAATATATCGGTAATATTTTTCGTGAGCGTGAGAATAAATTTTCTAATTTTATGCAGTCTAATTTATATTGTACAAGAAATAAAGCTTGAATGATTACTGAATAATAATTTACATATTAAATTACATATTAAAAAATTTTAATAACGTAAAACAATCTATGAGACAATTGATATTTGTGTTTTAATATATAATTTAAACAATATGGTTTGCGCGTTCCGATATTCATTCTCAATATTAAAAATTTATAATATACGTTGCCTAAATTGTCAGCACTAATAAATATCGGAATGCAATCAATTTTAATACTAGGGGCGGAATCCATAGACTCAAGTTACTCAAGATTCGAGATAGTCTTAAGCTTGAGATTTCATGAACTAAAAGAGCCATATTACGATCTTAAGACATCGCATGAAACGGTCTTGAGATTAAGAGCGGATTATGGATTCCGGTTTAGAATTGCGGATCTAAATTAATCCAATCGCGGTTCAAGCTAAATCTAGTTTTTTACGATATCACCATAAAAGTAAGATTACTTGTAATTAATTATGATTATTTATGAATAATCACAAAAATCTAAAATCCACATGCAAATCCAAATTAACTGAAAAATAAAAACTGTCAGATGAATTAAAAATGACACAGTTCAACAGTTCGTTCTGTAAAGAGCGACTGTTGGTAACGGATTACCTAAATAGGAGCTTGCAAGCTCGATAGAAAAAGATTCTTCGGAAGCTTCAGCAAGTAATGATATCCAGCGGTCGATAAAATGGCGAATGAAGTTTTACTTTTCAACAGCAAAAAGCTCCTTTAAAAAATTGATCGTGAAATAAAAATATAAAAATATAAAATGTACAAACATTTTAAAAACTATATAAAAATTGTATATGATTACATTATTTAAATGCCATTAATTGAAAGCATTTTAATAATTCTCTTATTGTTAATTAATCTAATTAAATTGCCTTGCAATGTATAATACTTGCAATTTCGTGTTGAAGGACTCCATAATTTTTGTATATGCATGTTAATCATGAATTGATATCGTTTTTGTTAAAATCTATTATCGTCAGCTAAATCATAACATATGAGCCATCACAAATGTCGTCGATGTTCGTAATCATATTCCATATGTATATTGTCAGAAATAAGAGTACAAAAAATCAATATTATGTGCGTTGAAATTAATTATGGTTATATAATTCGTATAAGATACAAAGCCTCGTTGATTACTCTTTTAAATGCCTAAATCAAAGCATTTACAAAAATTGTGCTATTATTATCATCTGATAAAATAATGATCTACAATTCGTTCTATATGTTATTCCATACGTCGTCTTGCATTCATCTCTTGCATTCATCTCTTGCATTCATGATTAGTAAAATATATTTACAACGTTGTTTATCAATGGTGCATCGCTGTCTGCATTGTCATTGTAAAACAGTGTATGAGAAATGAAGCATTGTTTCTTTCTTTATGATTATTTTGTGGCTATACATAAATAAACTTTATTTTTCTTAATTAACATTTATATATTTTTTTCCTTATATATTCTGTGTATACATATATCTATATTTATATGTATATATTATAATATATTGGTTTATTTTTTCGATTTATTTTTTCGATTACTTTTTTCGATTTATAATACTGAAAATTTGCTTACCAAAAATTTATACCAAAATGATTTTTATCTCTTTTAAATGATAAGAAGATGTAACTGCAAATTTTTTACAATCATTCTGATCTTGTTGCTTCCAGTTAAACTAGTGCAAGTCATGCATATCAAAAAAAGTGCAACCCTAACAAGAGATCAATTTTTGTTCCTGTATTATGAAACGTGACGAGAGGCAATTGCTTTGGTATCCACGATTATCTCGAATGACGTTAAGACTCACCCTTTGGAGGGAATTCGTTATTGTCTCCCAAGTAGAATGGCCCTTGGCGCATCACGATCTCATGAACGATTATAGCAAAGCTGTACACGTCGCCTTTCTGAGTGCCCTCGGGCAGTTGTCTCTCCATCCTCAGCAATTCTGGAGCTGTCCAAAGCTGTTCTGTAACATCAAATTTCCTGCTCTAAAAAATCAGACCGGGTAGAGCAGTTTAACGCAGTCTCTCCTCCCTTTTCCATGCATTCGATGGTTATTGTAAATATAAATTATAAATCGAAACATGATCGAAATCAAAAATATTTGTCGCGTTTAAAATTTCTGTTATATGTCAGAAATTATTGATATCTATTTTTCCCACGCGTTTACTAAATGTGTGTGTGACATGCGACAAAATATATTATTTGTTCA